TGCTGAAACCAGACGCCTTGGACAAGTCGATGGTGCTGAAGTGTACGTTCATAATCTACCCATTTACCATCTATGCTTAAACTACAGACTCTGAACCTATTGTCACATCATGGAGGTGATTTGTGTGGCTTGGCTACATTAGCCACCCAGTGTATTCTGTAGTAGAATGTTTTGGAACAACTGTTTGGCTAATGATCGACGTACAAAGTGTTTGTTTGTTTGTTGTTTACCGGCGCAATCAGCAATATTCCAGCTATATGGCGGCGGTCTGCAAATACTCGAGTCTGGACCAGACAATCCAGAGATGGACAGCATGAGCATCCATCTACGCAATTGTGATACGATGACATGTGGCAACCAAGCGAGCCTGACCATCCGATTCTGTTAGTTTTCTTTTACGACAAGCATAGTTTGCTGAACACAAATTCTGATCCCGGTGTCAATGCTGACTATATTTGGGATACAGCAACATCATCCTAGAGAGAATTTGTCTTCTGAATCGGTGACACAGCTTTCTACACATTGTTAACGTAGAGGACACTGAGTCAAGCCATATTGTACACATTGTTAACGTAGAGGACACTGAGTCCAGCCATACTGTACACATTGTTAACATAGAGGACACTGAGTCCAGCCATACTGTACATATTGTTAACGTAGAGGACACAGGGGTGTCCAGCCATACTGTACACATTGTTAACGTAGAGGAAACTGAGTCCAGCCATACTGTACACATTGTTAACGTAGAGGACGCTGAGTCCAGCCATACTGTACATATTGTTAACGTAGAGGACACAGGGATGTCCAGCCATACTGTACACATTGTTAACATAGAGGACACTGAGTCCAGCCATACTGTACACATTGTTAACTTAGAGGACACTGAGTCCAGCCATACTGTACATATTGTTAACGTAGAGGACACTGAGTCCAGCCATACTGTACACATTGTTAACATAGAGGACACTGAGTCCAGCCACACTGTACATATTGTTAACGTAGAGGACACAGGGGTGTCCAGCCATACTGTACACATTGTTAACGTAGAGGACACTGAGTCCAGCCATACTGTACACATTGTTAACGTAGAGGACGCTGAGTCCAGCCATACTGTACATATTGTTAACATAGAGGACACAGGGATGTCCAGCCATACTGTACACATTGTTAACATAGAGGACACGGAGTCCAGCCATACTGTACACATTGTTAACGTAGAGGACACTGAGTCCGCCATACTGTACACATTGTTAACGTAGAGGACACTGAGTCCAGCCATACTGTACACATTGTTAACGTAGAGGACACTGAGTTCAGCCATACTGTACACATTGTTAACGTAGAAGACACTGAGTCCAGCCATACTGTATACATTGTTAACGTAGAGGACACTGAGTCCAGCCATACTGTACACATTGTTGAAGTAGAGGACACTGAGTCAAGCCATACTGTACACATTGTTACCGTAGAGGACACAGGGATGTCCAGCCATACTGTACACATTGTTAACGTAGAGGACACGGAGTCCAGCCATACTGTACACATTGTTAACGTAGAGGACACTGAGTCCAGCCATACTGTACACATGGTTAACGTAGAGGACACTGAGTCCAGCCATACTATACACATTGTTAACGTAGAGGACACTGAGTCCAGCCATACTGTACCACATTGTTAACGTAGAGGACACAGGGATATCCAGCCACACTGTACACATTGTTAACGTAGAGGACACAGGGATGTCCAGCCATACTGTACACATTGTTAACGTAGAGGACACAGGGATGTCAAGCCATACTGTACACATTGTTAACGTAGAGGACACTAAGTTCAGCCATACTGTACACATTGTTAACGTAGAGGACACTGAGTCCAGCCATACTGTACACATTGTTAACGTAGAGGACACTGAGTCCAGCCATACTGTACATAGTGTTACCGTAGAGGACACAGGGATGTCCAGCCATACTGTACACATTGTTAACGTAGAGGACACTGAGTCCAGCCATACTGTACACATTGTTAACGTAGAGGACACTGAGTCCAGCCATACTGTACCACATTGTTAACGTAGAGGACACAGGGATATCCAGCCACACTGTACACATTGTTAACGTAGAGGACACAGGGATGTCCAGCCATACTGTACACATTGTTAACGTAGAGGACACAGGGATGTCAAGCCATACTGTACACATTGTTAACGTAGAGGACACTAAGTTCAGCCATACTGTACACATTGTTAACGTAGAGGACACTGAGTCCAGCCATACTGTACACATTGTTAACGTAGAGGACACTGAGTCCAGCCATACTGTACACATTGTTACCGTAGAGGACACAGGGATGTCCAGCCATACTGTACACATTGTTAACGTAGAGGACACTGAGTCCAGCCATACTGTACACATTGTTAACGTAGAGGACACTGAGTCCAGCCATACTGTACACATTGTTAACGTAGAGGGCATTGAGTCCAGCCACACTGTACACATTGTTAACGTAGAGGACACAGGGATGTCCAGCCATACTGTACACATTGTTAACTTAGAGGGCACTGATTCCAGCCATACTGTACACATAATGTGTATCCTTGGGGTCATAAACTCGCTTTAAAAGAACAAATTATGAACGTGAAATTGTTGGTGACACTGTCAGTCCAGCAATATTGTACACATTATGTATATCTTGATGTCGTGGGTATAAACACGCTTTATAACAGCAAGTTATGAACGTGAAATTTGTTAGTGACACTGTCAGTCCAGCCATACTGTACACATTATGTGGAGCCTGATGTCTATGGCATAAACACGCTTTACAACATCAAATTATGAATGTGAAATTTGTTAGTGACATTGATTATATCAGAGCGTTTATGATTTCAAGAAATGTACAATGTAAGACCAAGACTTGTAAAATAAACTAGTGCACTATTACGCTTCTATTATGCTTGTATACATATATAACGTCTCTGTATTTTGTAGGGAAATAAAAATAACATGAGAAGAGCAAAAGAAATTATACTCATGGAAACTAATAAGGGAACACATGAAAGTATAAGTGTTCCTTTATTTATTTCCAGAATTTCACACACAGGGCAATACATACCTTGTGAAGAAACCTGGAAAAGAATAAAGGAACATTTGTACTCTCAGGTGTTCCCTTATGTGTATATATACAATAAGCTAATAAAAGTGGCTTGCATATGAAGTGTCGATGGAAGTTGGCTTTGGGTATAATCTACTACAGCAGGACATCTTCGTGTATTTATTGCTTATCCACATCTACTTTTCAGCAGCAATCTCACACTACCAGCTCGTGTGGTGTAGGGAATGTATTGAATAGGGCAGCATGTACTGATGGGCTAACATGTACTGAGACGCCAACATGTTTTTAGAGGCTAACATATATTGAGGCGCCAACATGTTTTGAGAGGCTAACATATATTGAGGCGCCAACATGTTTTGAGAGGCCAACATGTAGCCCACATGTATTGAGGCTCCAACATGTTTTGAGAGGCCAACATGTAGCCAACGTGTATTGAGTCTACAACATGTGTTGAGGTTCCAAGGTGTATTGAGGTTCCAACATGTCTTGAGGGGCCAACATGTTTTGGAAAGAGTTCCGCCTATTTTATACGGTACTTTTCATTACTTGTGAATGTTTGTATTTATTGAAAACATTAGATGGGGGGTACGTAAGGAACTCTAACCCATGTTTTGAGAGCCCAACATGTTTTGAGGCTCCAACATGTTTTGAGAAGCCAACATGTCTTGAGGGGCCAACGTGTGTTGAGGCTCCAACATGTTTTGAGAGGCCTGTGTGAATTGAGGCTCCAACATGTGTTGAGTTGAGGCGCCAACATTTTTTGAGGCGGCAACATGTATTGAGTCTCCAACGTGTATTGTGGCTCCAACGTGTATTGAGGCGCCAACATGTTTTGAGAAGCCAACGTGTATTGAGGCGCCAACATGTTTTGAGAGACCAACGTGTATTGAGACGCCAACATGTTTTGAGAGGGCAACATGTAGCCAACGTGTATTGAGGCTTCACCATGTTTTGAGAAGCCAATGTGTATTGAGGCGCCAACATGTTTTGAGAGGCCAACGTGTTTTTGGAGTCAAAATGTATGGAGGCTCCAGGGACGATGAAGAAAAGTACTGTACATATACCCATGATCAATCAGTTTTTCTCTGTGCAATGAATCATTCATAAAAACGGTTTTTAATTTCATACTTTACAGAAAAACGGTGGTTTAAGTATTTGGATATCGACTTTCTAACCCGAGTATTCTGTCATCTCTGGTATATGTACTGTGATGGTCATGGGCGGATCCCGGAATTTTGCAAGGAGGGGGATCAGGGGGTTCAAACACACACACACACACACACACACACACACACACACACACACACACACACACACACACACACACACACACCCTGGATCCGCCGATGGTGATAGTATATAATACCATACTATCAGACTTGCCTTGTAAGATTTACAATATTGTTATTCTGAGTAAACGTCTCAAAAGTTCAAATATTTATTTTCTCAAAGACAGAAATATATTAAACTTGATCACAAATGATTTATTTCAGTATATATATTTTATACATCAAATATACAAATGACGTTCACTGTTTCACCACTTGCATTCAGTCTTTCACTCAGCCTAGTTTAACTGCAAATATAATACTTTTATGCATTCACAGGATCAAATTACACATATAACTCAATGATGACCAAGGCAAGTTCCTTAAAGCGAGGGGTGGTGGGGAAGCCTAGAGGTTAAAGTGTTTTTCGTCACACCAAAGTGAGCGAGTGAGTTTAGTTTTACGCCGCTTGTAGCAATATTCCAGCTATATCACGGCGGGGGACACCAGAAATGGGCTTTACATATTGTACCAATGTGGGGAATCGAACCCGGGTCTTCGGCGTGACGAACGAACGCTTTAACCACTACGCTACCCACTGTCCCTCACACCACCACTCTACATGCATACAATGGACGAAGCCTATTTCTGGTGTCCTACGCCGGGATATTGCTGGAATATTACGTATTGCAACAGTTGGGAATTCACTTGGCCTGAAACCGTGTGTTGTGGCGCCTAGTAGATATCACCTGGGTGACACATGAGTGACAGCTTTCATGTGTGAGTGTGAGGATGTGGAGTGTGTGTTTCAGTCGCAGTACAGTGTGGTCCCTCCCGAGTGCCATCATCATGTCCACCACACGAGGCCCTTCCTGAAACAAACAAGCACAAATATCATCTGTGTTTCAGAGTCATTTGATATTTAACACCACAGTGGCATTGTTTCAGCATACATACGTACATTCGTACAAATTACAAGTGCGCACATGCACGCATGCAGCCCCCACACACATAAAATTGATCTTCAGCAACCCATGCTTGTCTTAAGAGGCGACTCACGGGATCTGGTGGTCAGGAGATCTGGTGGTCAGGCTCGCTGGCTTGGTTGACACATGTCATCATATCCCAAATAAGCACATCAATGCTAATGCTGTTGATCACTGGATTGTCTGGTCCAGACTCGATTATTTACATATAATTTACTGTACTTTACTTTTCTGTACTCGTCAAAGAATGTGTAATCCTAAATATAACTTGTTACATTTGACCACTTTCTAAATGGCATTGTGTATTTCATAGCTTTCGGTCGTGGCAGCGTGCAATCAACACTTATCAGAGGGGTACACAAAGTCCGCAGTCTAGACTACCAGTTGTCCGACTTCCATTTTTTGTGTAAGCCGCGGTGGCTGAGCGGTCTAGGCATCTGACTTTGTGTGCTGGCGATTAGGTGCCTCACTCTGAGGGTGTGGGTTCGAGTCCTGGATGGGACTCAACCCAACAAAAAGTACTAGAATCTGTACTTAACAAAGAAAGTGTACTCCCAAATATAACATATCTTACATACATATCATTGTATACACACCCACAAGCACTCCCACTCAATATATCGGGAACCAAAGCTAGGTTGGGGATCATTGTAACTTTCGCCACCTTGTCTTGAATCGAACCAGGGTCGTCAGGTGACGAGTAGCCGCTTTACCCATTAGGCCATCCCACCGCCTCATATCAAAGTAAAACAACTAATGATTGTGATAAAAAAAATAGACATTCATCCAATCTCTTCTCAAATGTAATTACCTTCAAACCACTGAGTGCCTGCCTCAGACTATGCATGACGGGTTTAGCAGAATGACCTTCACCTTGCGCCAGCTCCTGCAGCTCCTTCTGGAGCTGATCAGCATCAAAGCCACTAATCACAGACAGCCTGCGACAGCAACTCTCCAACAAGTGTGCAACATCGATGGACGCACTCTTCAAATCCTGAACAGTCTCCCTCTGCGGAGCACTCCATAGAAATCTCCAGTCTGATTTCAGAAGATCCTTCGGTTTCACAATCCTGCCCTGAAACACGTATCACGGAACTCAACCATATACCAGATTATTACTATTTTAAAGTAGTCAAACACCGCTATATCAAAGTTGACGGAACCAAATAAATACTTCATGTTGTCCACAGTATTATGCAGTACTGGGGGGTTCAGTTATTCACTGGCATGTGGACAAGATGGCCACCTCTACATCAAATCTATGTACAGTACAACCAGAAATTATTGAGAATTATTAAAATCTTAATATTTTAGATATTTAAATACTTACCTTACCTCCAGGTAATATGCATATTACCTTTGCTCATCCGATACAAAGATTGGAAACGTGATCGATAAGTATCCTTGTTCAATGCTATCATGAAACTGGTGACGTGTCGATCTTGTCCGGCAAGGGGAAGCTTGCCCCCCAATCCTGTCACGTGACAACGAGAACACGTCACTTTATCCGAATCCTGGAGTCCGAGCGGAGTCCAGAGCGGGGAGGAGATGATCCATCGTAGGGAGGGCGTAAGAAGCCATGAGGTAAGGTAAGCATTTAAATGTCTAAAATATTTAGATTTTAATAAATGTTTAACTTAACTTACCTCATGGTAATGTGCATGTTGATCCGACAGAAAGGCAGGAGGGTCGGACACCGGCGAGGACCAGCCAAAACTCTCAGACGAAAACAGCACAACTGGGGACGTGGAAACTGTCTTGTTGTTGAACTGGAATCGTTGAAACAAGAACAGTTAACCACCGGTAGTACCTCTGATAAGGAAAACACAACACGAGAGAACGTGGGTTAACCTTAAAACTATCACTAAATGTGTCTGCTGAATGCTGACTGCTTGATGTACTCTTTAAGAGCCCTGACGGGACACAACACAAGTTCATCGGAGTCGTCACTGCCCATTATAGAAGACAAAGAAGGGATGACAAACATACGATCAACTGGTTCTTGGCAATGAAGTCCCTGAGAAGACCCAAATGGACGGAACCATGACGAGTCTGTTCAAACCTAATCCTGGTGACATCTGTGACGTGAAGCTCACTAACTCTGGCCGCAGTAGCAAGCGCCAAAAGAAAAGCTGTTTTTCTGGACAAGTCCTCGAAGGAGGCCACATACAAAGGCTCATAAGGACGTCAACGAAGGTGTTGTAAAACCACATTAAGATCCCAAGCTGGAGGGCGGAACTTCGACTTGTGATCCTCCAACTTAAATGCTTTCAGCATGGCCAGTAATTCCGGGATCTTGGAGACCTTCCTATCAGACTTGATGGCCAGCACTGAATTACGGGCTGCCAAATAAGTAGAAATTGTACCACCCTTCAGATGACGAGTGTTGCGTAGGTAGAGGAGGAATTCCGCAATAAATTGAGGAGAAGCTTTAACCGGATTCTTAGAGTGATCAGCGCAAAACTTCTCAAATGCAGTCCATTTGCCATCGTACAAGCTGCGAGTGGACACTATGAGCACAGGCGATGGTCGTAGCCACACCAGCCGAATAACCCTTGGATTTCAGAGCTTTCTGAAGATGACCCAAGCGCATTGATGAAATCTGTCCGGAACTGGGTGCAACAGGCGGCTGTGAGGATGCCGTAGAAGGTGCAGCCACTGTGGTAGCGGTTGAGGATCTCCTTTGGCGAGTCGACGTAGTTCAGGGAACCATGTTCTCGCAGGCCACCAAGGCGCGACCAAAAGCAGAGTCATCTGCTTGAAACTCCTTGAGCTTTGCTACGACCTTGGGAAGAAGAACTGGAGGCGTCTAGACCCTCCCATGAGAGGGACAGGGCATCCACTGCCCAAGCGACAGGATCCGTAAGAGGAGACACGTAGACCGGAAGTTGATGGTTGTGCTTCGTTGCAAAGAGGTCCACTAACGGTCTGTGATGGAGGTGACAAAGCAGATCGAATTCTTCCGGATGAAGCATCCACTCTGTTGGGGATGGCTTGTCTGGTCGGGACACATCGTGCAATCCGGAATGTTACGAGCTCTGATATGGATGCTGTTGTCGTCCAGAAGGCGAAACAAACGAAATGTCTGATTCAAGAGAAGACCCAAGCTGGTTGTTCCCTGGTTGGGATCAACCAGACCACTGTCGAGTTGTCTGATGCCACCAAGAGCTTGGAACCCCGTAGCGAATGAATCCAGTACTGAATGGCTAAGATGACAGCCTGAAGCTCTAGGTTGTTGCTGTGCCAACCTGCCTGTGTGGTTGACCTAAGCCCTGCCGCTGTCTGAAGTCCAGGTGAGCGCCCCAACCCTGAAGAGAGGCGTCCACAAACAGTTCGCGGTCGCGTGTGAATTCAGTCAAAGAGACATCGCCGCAGACGTTCGACTCGATTGTCCACCACTGAAGAAAGGGATGAAGATGAAGGGGCAGTGGAAACCGCAACCTGAGGTCGTCTAAGAGGATGAAAGGAGAGAGGAACCGTTGAAGCAGTCTGAGCATTAATCTCCCTCTTGTTGTAAGATCCTGAGCTGACGTCAGACCTAGTAGGGACTGTGACAAAGCGGGTGTGACAAACCCCACCGAGCAAGACTGAGGATTCTTTGCCATCTGTCTGGTGGAACCGGCAGAAGGTCTTGATCTGTGAGGAACAAACCCCCCTATGAAAATCAACTGTTGGGAAGGCTCTAGGTGGGACTTCTCGGGGTTAACAATCCGACTGAATTGGTGGAAAAGCTTGAGTATAAAGTCTCTCTGTCTGCATAGCAGCAAGCTCTCCCTTTGACTCATGAGAGAGTCGTCTATGTATGGATCGAACTCTATCCCCCTAAGATGAAGATACCGGGAAATCGGTACTGTAATTCGAGTGAAAAGCCACAGGGCCATAGAGATGGCAAACGGCAGGACCTTCCACTGGTAATGGTGACCGTCGAAAATGAACCTCGGGAACTTCCGGTGAGGTTCGGAAATAGGAACATGTAGGTATGCGTCTTGAAGATCCAGACTGACCAACCAATTCTTGGGGGACAGTTTGGTTCGTAGCTGTATCAGAGATACCATCCGAAAATGTGGCAGCTCCGGAAGGTAAAGTTTGTTGAACACCGCCTCATTGTGTATCATCCTCATCTTCTGAGAATTCTTTTTGGGTACTAAGAAGATGGGAGAGTAAACCCCTGGGGAGTTGCTGGGCTCTAGTACTTGTTCTATGGCCTTCTTGTCCAACAACGCCTGAATGTTGATCAACAGGTGCTGGACGATGGAATATTCGTGAGACCAGGGCGAGGTGGTCAAAGGCTGCGACATGGCTATTGGAAACTTGTAGCCTGTCTTGAGAAAATTGGTGACAAAGGGGTCTCCTAGGATTGTCCAGTTGGGCCAGAAGACCCTGAGTCTCCTGCATACAGGTATATCGCGGATATGGACGGCTGGGGGCGGGAGGTCCCAACGTGACCGCCCAAAACATCAGTGGTGCTTGTACTTGGGTTTGCCGGTCTTGTTGGTTACCGGCGGGACGACGTTGGAAGTTGTTGGGACGTTACCTGCCTCGCCCTCTAAAGGCTCCATGAACCGACGTCCTCCTGGATTGGTAAAGGTTGGTGGTCCTGGTAGTTGGCGCTGACAAAGTGGCGAAGTGACGCAACATCGGAGCACAATCTCAGTTTGGGTCAAGGAAAAGACATCCGGGATCTTATCCGCGAATAAGGTGGGAGCCGCAAACGGGGCACTCATCAGTCTTTTCTTGAATTCCTCCTGCCAGGTACAGGGAGCGAGTAACCTAGTCACAGTGGTGGTAGCTGAGGCCGAATGAAGGTGATCCACCACATCAGACAGAACTTTCGCCTGCCATCTAAACATAGTGGTAAAATGATCTAAGCGGGAAGGGTTATCCTCCGAGAGGTCTTGAGACATGGCCACCATGGCCGAAGCAAGCACAGAGAGGGGCTTCAAGCTTTGACAGAGTTCCGTATCAATCACTTGGCATTTGGGACCTTGTATTGAGCTTGTGAAGCATCCGACAATCGTTTGGCCGCTTCATCTTGTGTAGCGCCAAAATCCACAAAGTCAAAAGAATGCACCTTTTAATAGTGACAGCGATGTTTAGCAGGCTTGATGGAAGGATTGAGAGAGGAGAACGCTGAGGCGAGGAGCGCCAAACGTCCCGTACAGGAGAGCGCCTGGGAGAACGGGAGAGCCGAGGGGAAGGTATGTGCCGGCAAAATGTGCACCGAGAGGTCCAAGTACACGCTGAGTCTACCAGACAATCCGGGCAAGCAGGATGGGGGTCTTTAGCCGACTTCTGAGACTTGCACTGATTGCAGTAAACCCGTGGCATGAACTAACCACAGCAAATTGCAACAACAGAAAAACATTTACTGTTGAACACATGTTAAGTAAACATTAACATTATAACAAAGAAAATATAGCATAACAAACAGTTATGATAAAGCAAATATAAGCCTATATGGGAAGGGAAGGCCCACGTGCAAAACCACATAACTTTGGTATACACAGGCTTACCCAAATAAGAAAGAAACGCCGACAACTTAACGCGACAGTGAAGCGAAAAAAACGGCGGGAAAAGCGGAATACGAAACTAAACGAAAACAGAGAGCACACACAGGTAGCTCTGCATGTATGTGCCACGCCAAGCGACTGCCGCCATTTGTGGCAAGCATGTGAAAAACCTCTACGAAGAAAAACACTCAAAATATGACACAAAGAAAGAGAACAAGATACATACAATGGTCAAGCAAGGACAAAAACAACCCAGGCTGACCAAAGAGGTACCTTAATCTGCCGAAGCGAAGCTGGATAGACAACGCGAGGCAAAACAAAGCAAAACAACACACCGCGAAGACCGTACAGTGATGAGTCGCTTTTCATTATATCATGGTAGAAGGATACAATAGGAACACCTCACCGTAGCAAAACACAAAGAAACAGTAAGAAAGGAAACAGAAATATCATATCCACGTCCAACTCGCTGTGCGATAAAGGATAAAGTGACGTGTTCTCGTTGTCACGTGACAGGATTGGGGGGCGTGCTTCCGCTCGCCGGACGAGATCGACATGTCACCAGTTTCATGATAGCATTCAACAAGGATACTTATCGATCACGTTTCCAACCTTTTTATCGGATGAGCAAAGGTAATATGCACATTACCATGAGGTAAAAAATTTAAAGATTGTAATTTTTTATATTTTTTTCACTCATTACTCATGTATTAATGTGAATATTAGCAGAACATAACTCCAGATTCAAAGACAGGTGAACAGTTAGTAGCTTGACAAGTCACCATGGGCAGCAATGCAGGCTTCAATGCTACTGATCAAAAAGTTGGAAAGTCGTCGTCCATGCTGTCCCAATATCGGACCACCTCTTCTTTCTTTTTAGCAATATTTGTCAGATTTTACTTATTGACACTTTCCTTCATAAATCCCCAAACATTTTCTATTAGATTTAGGTCAGGGCTATAGCTTGGCCAATCTAATAATGTCATATTTTGGATCCAAAACCAGGCCTGTGAATGCTTTGAACGATGTTTTGGGTAATTGTCCTGCTGGAAATTCTAAAAATGTCCACAGAACACGTGAGCAGATGGAAGTAAATGTCCCTCGAGAATATCTGTGTACCGATCACTGTTCATATTCCCTTCAAATACACAGAGGGGCGTTGCTCCTAACACAGATATGCCACCCCACACGTTAAATTTCGGACTGTACTTTGGGCGCTGATACAAGGGTTTTTCAGTTTGTTTGGTGCAGAATTTCAGTGTATTAGGAAACAGCCACACAGAACTTTCATCTGAGAAAATCACAGTCTCCCAGTTAAAATTTCCATGCTGTAAGCACCAGTACAACCTTTGCTCCTTTTGTTTAGGTTTAATGAACGCTGATGGAATTCCTTGACTTTTCTGCCAACCCATTGCATGCAGCTCAGTTCTAATTGTCTCCTTACAGACAGCCACAGTTCCTCTATCATTCATATCCAGCCTTAAGTTTTCTAAACTCCTTCATTTGTTTCTAGAAACAAGAACACCAAGACGCCTCCTGTCAACGACAGTCATTTTTCTGGGCCTACCTGGTGCTCAATGCCATATCAATGCAATATTTTTCAAAACATGATAAACAGTGGACAAAGGGATGCCTGTTCTACTTTAAATCATGTTAGCTGATCTGATGTCCTTATTATAATACTCTAAAATCAATTTCCTCTTCTCTAAATCATCCATACTGAGGATCACTGAAAATGCTGTCTGCTAGCAAGTAAACAAAGGGGGATAACTCTTCACAAACTAATGAAAAAAGATTAATGGAGTTGTCTCTCTTGAATGAAACCAAGCACTTGATAGCTGGTCAAGAAATCCAATTAAACATATTCCTAAAATTCTCAATAATTTCTGGATACTAAAGAAATGATTGCTGTACTTATAATTCTGAAGTCCTAATTTGATATGATAAAATCTAAATCTTTAAAATCTGGGTTGGAATTGGTCTTCAGTAACCCATACTTGTCAAAAGAGGTGACTGATGGGGTCAGGCTCGCTGACTTGATGTTAAACAACAAAGAAACCAGATCCTTGTACAAAGATGATTTGTCAAACAGGTGTATTGATGGAAAATTTGACTATCGAATCCTTTTGGATGGCTAATATAGCTGAACACCTCGAACAATTGGTTGACACGCTGACACGTCATCTTAGCCCAATTGCATATATGGATGCCCATGCAGTTGATCACTGGATTGTCTGGTCCAGACTTGATTATTTACAGACCCCCATCATACAGCTGGAATATTGGCTGAATGTGACGTTAAGCAAGAAACCAACCAACCAATATTGAAGGTCTGTGTCCTGCCAACAAAGCTGCACACACTTCTATATTAGTGTCCCTCTCTTTCAATATCTCAATTGTCATTAACTTTTCCAAATATTTACACATATGATAATCTGCAGAGACAGAAGTGGAACTCTACCTACCTCCTCAAAAGCACAGTCCAGGATGTTTCCAATGTACTCCGAACTGAGGATCTGATCTCTTAACACCCCTTCGCCCAAGCTGAAATATTCAAACATTTTAATGCTTTACCATGACAACAAACTGGAAATTGTCAATTTTTTACAAACACATTCATAGCTGTTTTGGTTTAAATCTACGGCCTTAATATACATGGGTCTGTCTCCCCACCTGTGACTATGTCCGGCCTTGACAAGTGTCTGGACATCTTCTATAACCTGCCGTCTGCTACTGCTGCTGAGCTTGGCGCCAAGATGAACACGGTTCGCTTCATCCAGGAATTCCGGGTCCAGTCTCCCAGAGTTACGACGTAGTTTCTCTAAAGAGAACTTAAACACATTTATTGTGCAAGAAATTATATTCAGATTATGAAATTACTTCATCATCTACATTGATCAGACATTGTTTGGAGGGAAGTCTGTTACGTTTGCCAGATGAACTTTTATACAGCACCAGGAACTCATCAACCACCCCAACTTCTTGTACGCTTGTATGTACATGTCCAATCTCTCCTGCTCTGTACATCCAACTGGCTTCTAACTGTAATCCACTGTCACTGGCCTCTACATGTAATCCCTTGTCATCACATTGTCACTGCTCAAATATCATATGTGCATGCGTAAGTGCGTGCGTAAGTGCGTGCGTAAGTGCATATGTGTATATGACCCTGTTTTTTACCTGACTCTACTTGCTTGACAACAAAACAAGAATCTGTATCCAATAAAGAAGTTGTTCATCCATCAAGTTTGTCCTTATCTACGTGGGCATGTTAAGTTTCTCGACTTGTTAGCCATACAGTACTCAGTAGTTACTAATATGAGTTCCCTTACTCTGTTTGACATGCAGACATCGCAACTCGATGCTTCAACAATGAACAGTGACAATCATTATATGTATAATCATGGTAACTTTAAAGTATAAACTTAAAACTTATTACACCTAATAGTTTCCTCATCAGTTAGACAAATGTATTTCAGAGCCCTCGGCCGGTTGTTGCTTGAGTCGACATGTGAAAACAAACTCGTAAAGCATTTCAGATTCTTGAGTGCGCCAACACGGCCTGTCAGTACCTTTAAAGTTTGCCATATACACGTTTAGTGAGCGAATGGCGCAAAGGTGTGTCCAAGCATGAACACAGCCTGTGTTACCTGCTGAATCATGTCGTCCAAGGAGTAGCCGGTAGTTCCGTCACTTGAGAAACCACCTCCTACTTTAGTCACGTAGTTCAGCACAGCTTCTGGGTAATAACCTTCGTCCTACAATCACACACATACGTATATTTAGGGTGAGTGAGTGAGTTAGGGTTTCTAGTCACATCAGCAATATTTCAGCCATATAGTGACTAAAACAATTATACATTCATGACACATAAATCGAGAATATAAAAGCTGGTTGACAAACTACATTAAAAACAACCAGAAAATCACAGATACAGATGTGAAACTAGCATATTAATGTAAAACCATAGACAATACAACATATCATCAACAACTACAACAACAAGGTAGATCACCATACTAAGGACCAAAGGACCTTAGGCAAGTGAGTGTGTGAGTGAGTATGGTTTTATGTCGATTTTGGCAATAGTAAACCAATATCACCGCGGGAGACACCAGAAAAGGGCTTCACACATTGTACCCATGTGGGGATATGGTTCAAGTCACCAAATACACGTGTGAATGGTAACAGGACTTGTCTTAAGTCATTTTGATTTGCTACACTAACAACTCTGAGCAATCAGTCGTATATATTCAGAGGGATGTAGGAAGTGAAAATCAACAAGGAGTTATGAATTTGGGTTTAACACATTCTCACATTAAGAAATATGCATGAACAGGTATATGAATGAATGTAGCAAGTTGTACTATTGTTGACATAACTTTTTTTTAATCACTACCCAGTTATTATTTGTTCTTGTCTATCATAAGAACCCATCTTCGACACAGAAAACTTACACTGAGACAACTAGGCATTATTTGGTTGGTTGCTTTGTTGTTTTACGCCGCACTCGGTAATATTTCAGCAATATGGCGGCGGTCTGTAAATAATCGAGTATGGACCAGATCAACAGTGATCAACAGCATGAGAGATCTACACAATTGGGATACGATGACGTGTGTCAACCAAGTCCGCGAGCCTGACCACCTGATCTCGTTACTCGCCTCGTACGACAAGCATAGTCACCTTTTGTGGCAAGCATGGGTTGCTGAAGACCTATTCTACCCCGGATCTTCACAGGTTTAAGATGAGGTGAGGTGAAATGGGTCAAAGTGAGTGAGTGAGTTAGTTTAGTTTTACGCTGCACTCAGCAATATTCCAGCTATATGTTGGTTGTGTCAACTATGCAATTGGGATATGTATCAGTTCGTAACGTTGAGGACCCGGGTTCAATTCCCCACATGAGTACAATGTTTGAAGACCATTTCTGGTATTCCTTGCCGTGATATTGCTGGAATATTGCTAAAAGTGGATACAACCATACTCTAGATAAGATACAAAGATACTTATCAATATCTGATGACTATTTACAAACTATAGCATGCATCTTAAAAACACTTTTGCATTTCTTTTTCTCCAGAGTATAGATGAGAGTGTCAGCACCACAGTGGAACCAACATTACCTTAAAGTGCTCCACTTGGATGTCATCTCCTCGTTTAGAAAGTTTGGTTCCATCCCTAACCAAACAACAAACATTTATCCATCAGAGTCTGTACATTTTATAATTAATTGTATATTTATATACTTAGCCTATCTCACGGTATGCACCTCTCTTCTTCTTCTATGACCATGTGTGGAAATGTGCTGTAGGCTAAGTCGAATCAAATCTTACTGGCCTCTGACCCGCCCTGACCTCTGCCCCCACTCCGACATCAGCACCTGTCAGTCATCTCCGTAAGCGTGCAGCTCGCTCAGATGATCATGTGACTACCTGTGCCTGTCATTCTCGTCTTGGAGCTTCCAGTAATCTGTGATGTGAGGCAGGTCGGGTGGGCATCCATCGTGTGAGATAGGATAAGTATATAAATATACAATTTATTATTAAATTTACAAATTTTTAAACTTATCCTATCTCACGGTATGCACAATCCCACAGTTGGTAGGAAGGCTGCAGATTACCCCGTCAATACGTACAACCGGGAAGACACATAACCCCAAGAAGGCCAGGAGAAAGCACCAACTTCCGATATGCAGACTCCAAACTTGAGATGGGTTTCTTCAGGTAACCCCTTGGCTTACACAGCACAAAAAACTCTAGGGAGTGGGCGCTCCCGAATTAATGTGGGTTTCAGCTGCAACTTTTGACAAGCAAAAGGACGCAGTTTGGCAAGTAGGCCCCGCCTCCCCACGATTTATCAGGTGACCCCAGTGAATTAAAGGCGAAGACCTTAATCTGGCCAGTCCCTGCTTCGAAACTACCCCCCCACAGACACACGCTGGAAGGCGGTGAAAGAGGGACTAGCTCGGTTGTTCAACTAGTTTAACGTTCAGTACCAATCTCCCTAACTTACCAAAGGTCTGAATGGACTTAGGAGCTGAACGCTTTGAAAACCATGTAGGTAATCGGAAATCAACACTTTACTGAGAGTAGAGGTCAGCAACACCGACCAAAGAAGGATTGCTTTATCATCAAACACGGGCCGATGACAATTGCTGCGCTAGGGCCAAGGGGCCGAATTGATGTAGAATTCCACGTCTGTAACCGATAGGTCCCTCAGGTAGTGTGAAGCAAACACTGTATCGGATCTCCAAAAACAGCCCTCCATGATGGACTGCAGGGAACATTTTCTATGAAGAGACATGGTGGAGGCAAGAGTTCGAGTCTCATGAGGCTTCGCTGTCGACGGTGGAGGTAGGTCAGCAAAGGCATAAGCACGCAGGATCGCAGTTCGCATCCAAAACGCTGAGGTAGTACGGGAGACACCCGAGGTGGAGGCAGTAGACAATGGAATGAACAATCTCTTACGCAGTCTGCGGCGATCCTTTGAGGCAGCTAGGTAAATCCTTAATGCACGCACCGGGCATAAGGACAGATCCCCAGATCTGGGCCCAAGATAGTGGACAACAGCGGAATCGTGAATGTGCGATCAGGCCGTCCTGGTAACTGATTCTTGGCGAGAAAATCCCATCGCAAACCAAGGAAAACTGTCGCATGTCTAGACCTTTCAAACCGCACCCGAGAAACATCAAGAGCATCCAACTCGGAAATACGGGCAGCTGTAGCCAAGGCCAAGAGAAAGAAGGTCTTAAAGGAGATATGTTCGAAATCTTTCTCCTCCAAAGGTTCGTAATCAGCTGACGTGAGATGAGCAAGTACAACGGAAAGATCCCAAGCTGGAGGCCGGAACTTCCGAGATTGGTCAGCCACTTTGTAAGACCAGAGGAGAGACTGGAGTTCAGGGACAGTGGACACCCAAGGCCACTGCAATAACGATGTTAAGAGCAGCCAGATAGGTAGATAGTGTATAACCTTTGAGTTTTCTGGAGGTTTGTAGATGTTGAAGGTACTCTAGAACCATCTGCGGGGAGGCCGTAGTGGAGGATGAGACGCCCTTCTTCCTGCAATACGCTTCAAAATTCTTCCATTTGTCATCGTCGAGTGACCTCGTAAAAGTACGATGCTCTGTAGAAATTGCAGTAGCCACCCGTTTAGAATAGCCCTTCACCATTAACGACCGATGTAGATGCGCCAAGCATGCAGATGGAGCGTCAACGGGGACCAATGTAGCTGGTCGGAGTGCAGATGTATCAGGAGATCATGTCGAACAGGAAGTGGTACGGGATCTGGTTCGGCTAGGTCTTGAAGGTTTACCAACCAACTTCTGGCCGGCCAATAGGGCGCAACAAGCAGAGTCATCCTCTGGGTTGCGCGCAGTTTCACTAATATGCGAGGAAGAAGGGCCACTGGCAGAAACGCTTAAGCGTTCAGGTCCTCCCACGGAATGGCTAGAGCATCGAGGTCCCAAGCCAGAGGGTCCGGAATCGGTGACACAAACCGAGGCAGCTGATGGTTGAATCGGATGGCAAAGAGATGTCAATGGAAGACAAGGGGTCTGGAACACCTGAGGATGTAATCTCCATTCCATTGGAGAGGGACGACTCGGCCGGGACAGAGAATCTGCAATGACATTCTTCACCCGAATGTGGTTGGCTCGGACTAAGATGTTGAGAGAGTCCACCAGATCGAAGAACTGTTGGGTCCACTGGAGCAGTTGAGTAGACCCCGTTGACCCCTTCTGTTGATATGCCAAACCACCGCTGCGTTGTCCGATCGGATCATGAGGGACGTTGCTCTGAGGACATCCTGCCAGTGACTGATTGCAAGAATCACTGCCCTGAACTCCAGAACGTTGATGTGACAGGCGCGATCGACGTGAGACCACAGCCCTGCCAATTGTTGATTGAGAAGATGAGCTCCCCACCCGTGTTGAGATGCATCCACATACAGGTGGTGAGACGGAACAAACGGCCCTAAACAAACTCCGTCGCAAACATTCAATTCTTCCATCCACCACAGGAGATGGGGGATGGAGCTCCAGAGGTAGAGTGATCAAGGCAACGGGATCTCCCACTCTGATGTAAGGTGCTAGAAAGAACTGCAAGGGACGAAGTTGTAGTTGACCCCTGAGGGTCAAAGCCTGAGCCGACGTCAAGAGGCCCAGGAGCTCCTGTCACTGACGAAGCGTCCTGGGTTGCGCCAATGCCAGAGAGACCAATCGCTATATCTTGCAGAAATGATCCCTCAGGACAAAGAGTTTGTTGACCTGTGTCCAACACTGCTCAAATGAATTGAAGACGGCGCATAGGGACTACTTCCGATTTCTGCAGATTGATTAACCAGCCTAATTGGCGAAGAAGCTGTATCGTAAACTGCATGTGACAAAGCAGAAGTGCATGATTGGTCTGTGCCTGAATGCAGTCACCGATGTAAGCCTCGGACACTATCCCCTTGCGGTGAAGGAAACTGGTGATAGGCTTCATTACCCGTGTAAACAGCCACGGAGCAGAAGACATTCCAAACGGGAGGACATGCCACTGATAGTGGGTGCCCTCGAAGACAAACCGAATGAACTTGCGATGAGCCGAGAAGATCGGGATGTGCAGGTAAGCATCCTGGAGATCCAAACTGACCATGTAGTCTCCTGGCTTGATAATGGTCTTGAGGAGTGCCACCGATACCATGCGAAAATGGGGCAGAGGCTGCAGAAACCTCTGGTTGAATATCTTCATGTTGAAGATTAACCTCAGTTTGTCCGAATCCTTCTTGGGTACCAGAAAGATTGGAGAATAGAACCCCGGGACGGTCGGAGCCTGACCCAGGGATTCGATCGCAGGTTTCTTGAGTAAGGTGTCTATTGTGGATCGAAGAACAGCCGTCTGTTGAGCGGGATACGTTCTGCGATCCGGAAGTAAAGTGAGAGGAGGATCCCCAATGATTGGCAGCTGAGACCCCATGGATAACATGGAGAGGACATAAGGGTCTCCCAAGATGATCCAGTTGGGAGCATAGGTCCCAAGCCGGCCGCCTACTGGGGAAGTCAGAAAGGGCACGACTGGAGGTGGAAGAACCCAGTCGCGTTCTAATGTCATCAAGTCACTGTTTGTCAGGCCTTTGCGAAGTGGACTGGTTGGCAGTGGAAGCTGGTCGGGAAGCAGAGAATGCCCGATGTTGACGGCTGGACCGTCCTCTGCCAAAGGATCCCTTTCCACGAAAGGAAGCAGTAGAACCCGCATGCAGGTCCCGATTGACAGGAACATAACGGGCTGGTCGTTGCCGACGGAACAATTCCACCACCTGCAAACTTTGGAATTCCAACAATTCCACTGACACTTGTAAATGAGCATCTTGACCAACTCTGTTGTCGACATCTCTAATCGCCCCGTTGAAAAGAGACCTGCCGGACCACGGCTGACGAAAGAGATCAGTACGGAACCGATCCTCCCAAGAGGATAAGTTCAAAGGCCCCCTGCAATGCACAGCTGTGACATATGAAAAGAAGTGAGCCAACTGATCCAGAATGGTCTGAAATTGCTCTTGCAATAAGACCATAGCCGCTCGAATATACGCTTGTTGATGGGACGTAGCATGTGCAACCGACATAGCCACCGCCTCAGTAGTCGTCAACACCATGTTGAGTGGCGCCATAATCTTCCTTATGACACCATCCAGATGCAAAAGCTCACGATCCTCCACCAGGAACGGTAAGTAGGCTTTCTGTTTAGTTCCCAGCAATGTAATATCATCATCCACCGGAGGGGAGACAATCAGCGTAGAGAAACCATGCACATGAGCAGATGCCAAATTGAAGCGAGGAGCTGCGAACCCATCCTTAACCTTCCTCAGGTTACCAAAAGCCTCATCCAGAGATGCTGCCAATTGAGTAATGCAGTCGAGGCGGGAACGTGATGGAACCGAAATCACCTGGCTACATATCAAACCAGGATAATAAATCCGCCGACAAACTACTACGCTGGCTATCGGCAATCCAGATGAGTAGTTGAGGTGTGTCAACAGCATCCACGCTACCATCCGACAGTGCTGTACCATCAGAAGAAGGAGATGGCGTCGTCGAACGACAAACCTCCTCTAAAAGTGGAACTGGATTGGTCGAAGGACCCGATGACTGAACAGCAGCGGAAGTTGGTGGCGCCTGATGCCGTAATGCTGACGCTACCGCTAGCACAATGGCGTCAAAATGCACAGGTTGAGAAGTCGAAACCTCAGACACCGGATTCCAGGACACCGGTAAAATAGGTCTCACCACCGATCCCGTTGTAGGAGGAACCGACGAAACAGACGCAGACACAAAGGGATGACAAGGCACCTCACTGAGGGCAGACGGACATCCAGCTGACTGAGGCACACCCCCATGAGGCAACGATGAACCCATAGGGTCCCTGGCATTGGAAGCAAAAGCTGAGCTGAGTGGACACAGCGCCAAACTTGACACATGAGAGGTGAGTGCTGAACCCTGAGGAAGCGTCGAACCAAATGCCCCATGAGTCAACCTTGAAGCCAGTGAACTATGAGTAAGCGCCGAAGCACGAACCTCGTGAGTAAAGCACCGAACCAGGAGCCCCAAGAGCAAGCATCGAACTGGGAATACTGTGAGTAAGCACCCAACTAAAGCCTCCATGAATAAGCGCCGAACCGGGAGCACCAGGATAAAGCGCCGAACTGGGAACACCGGGATAAAGCGCCAAAAGGGAGCACCCGGAGGAAGCGCCAAACCAAAGCGACTATGAGTAAGCACCGAACTGGGAGCACCGGGAGAAAGCACCGAAATGGGAACACCTGGATGAAACGCCGAATCAGGAACACCGGGAGGAAGCGCTAAACCAGAGGCAAACAAGAGCGCCAAACTGGAAGCAAGCGGCGCTCTGAATGACATCATGGGATCGGTAAGAAGCGGCGCTCTACCAACAGGTAACTGTCCTGATGTAAGTGGTGCTGGAGCGGCAAACGACGCACTAGAATAACGTGGTGGTCCATAACCCAACGGTACATGATAAGGGGTAGATGTGGAAAAAGGCACTCTAGGAATCATTGACACACCTGTCAACCCCACCGGAGGATGAGAGAGCAACGAAACCATCCACTGCACCCGAAGCAACTGACACATTCGACACAAGCCCTGAATGGGAAACAGGCGTAGAATCAACCACCGAAATGGAAAGCGCCGCACTGCAAGCAAGCGTCACTTGAGATGTATGGCTAGTAATCACACCAAGCGCCGCACTAGAAACCCCACCTCAGGAACAGAAGTGCACTGAGGAATAGGTATCACCGAAGAGGGACAGGTTTGAAGAGAAGACATAGACAACACGACAACCCTAGGTGGTGAAGAGTCTTCTAAAGTGATGGGGCTAGACGCAGGAAAAGTTGACGTAAATTTTCACTGAGGTAAGAATCGGACACCTCCCCTAGGAAATCTTCAGCAGGCGATGGGGACTTCAAACGTCGGACTGCAGTTTTCTTACGGCGTTCTGTCTTAGAACGTTTAGACACAGAAGGACCCTCAGATGCCATGGTTGACGACGATCCCTGTCTGACATGCGTCTACAAGCTACCCGGCAATATTCGGAAAAAGCATCATCGTTGAGGTCTGCACAAAAAGTGCAACGTTGAGACCACTCCCAACGTCTTAAACAATCAACACATAAAGCATGTGGGTCTGCCGCCAAGATGTTGCTGCTGCATATTTATTGCAATGTTTGCGCTATTTAGCACTATTGGGATTCGATTTTCCCATTGTAGAAACACAATCAAACTTTCTTAGAGACAAGCACACGTCCACATGAAGTAGCAACAGTACAGAGAATGACAGGCACAGGTAGTCACATGATCATCTGAGCGAGCTGCACGCTTACTGAGATGATTGACAGGTGCTGATGTCGGAGTGGGGGCAGAGGCCAGGGCGGGTCAGAGGCCAGTAAGATTGATACAACTTAGCCTACAGCACGTTTCCACACATGGTCGTAGAAGAAGAGGAGAGGTGCATACCGTGAGATAGGATAAGTTTAAAAAATTGTCATTTCAAGAATATGTTCTTTTGAAAACTGCATGATCAGCATTATGCATCAGCATATGCTAATGAATGTCAGTTTCCAAGTCAGGTTTTGCAGCCAACAGGGAATCTTTACGTCATGTGAACTTCACATACAACTTCTGTTCATTATAATCAATGCAAATATATCTGAAACAATACATTGTTTACAGGTCTACAAATGTGGAAAGATGCTATAAATAGCCATGCTGTCATGTAAGTCTGAAGAGCCGGAGAAATTCTCTGCTCAGTAAGTGTGGAAGTGATGACGATACTTTGAAAATAAACCCAGGATGGTGGCGAACCCAGGATGGTGACGGATGAATCCCCATATGGCAAACAACAACACAACAACACAAGGTAGACAAGACATGTTCAAGACATTGTAGCAACTCACTTGTTGAGAATGAGAGGGAGGTGAGCGTATCGGGGAGGATCCCATCCAAATGATTTGTACAGTAACAGATGTTTGGGCGTGGAGGTCTGCCATTCCTACAAAGGCAATACAGTGACACTCAACATTCACGTCAAGACACCTTATCACTATCCTGACAACAATCCAATTTTAACATGGTCACATCTTAACCTCACATCACAATATCCAATTTCACACGGTGAAATAATCTCATACCATGACAAACAAGAGTCATCAGAAGATGACATATCTCCCCGGCCCCAACATCTTTGAAAGAACAAATCATCTGACAGTTACTTAAAGTCCAGCTTGATTTTAGACTAAGTGCAAATTGTTTCCATGGAAATCATGAAACAAATAAATGACAAAAATCTGCAAATAGCAAAAGGCACCACTTCAAGATCTGCCTCACATATCTGCCAAGTTTTACTGAAAGATATTAAGAAGTTATTGAGTTGTGCACCGGAAACAAAGCCTATCCCTCCCTTATCGGACTAACAAAAATCTGCAAATAGCAAAAGGCACCACTTCAAGATCTGCCTCACATATCTGCCAAGTTTTGCTGAGAGATATTAAGAAGTTTTCCAGTTGTGCTCCGGAAACGAAACCCACCCCTTCCTTTTGAGACTAAGTCTGATTCGTTTCCATGGAAACCGGGGAAAATAAAAATGCCAAAAATCTGCAAATAGCAAAAGGCACCAATTCAAGTTCTGTGTGATATATCTACCAAGTTTTGTTGAAAAATATTGAACTGTTCTTGAGTTGTGCTCCGGAAATGAAGCCCATCCCTCTTTAAGACTAAGTCCAAAACGTTTCCATGGAAATCGAGAAAAATAAAAATGCCAATAATCTGTAAATAGCAAAAGGCACCACCTTAGGTTATGTTTGACATATCTACCAATTTCTGTTGAAAAATATCAAACGGTCTTTGAGTTATGCTCCGGAAACAAAATGATTACGGACGGACGGACGAGGCGACGACTATATCCCCCCGCATTACATGCCATGGGGATAATAACAATCTAATACCATGACATACATATATAGAACATCATACTAGTGCACTTGGATGTTTTGTATTAAACGAAAAGATGTCATGGGAGCAGAGAAACATTAAGTTTGAAGTTACATGGGTCAGTGCCACCCAGTCATCACACCATTGCATCCCTTCACCACACCCATCACCACACCCACCATTGCATCCAGTCGCCACACCCACCATTGCATTCAGTCACCACACCCACCATGACATCCAGTCATCACACCATGGCATCCGGTCACCACACCATGGCATCCAGTCACCACGCCCACCATTGCATCCAGTCACCACGCCCACCATTGCATCCAGTCACCACACCATTGCATCCAGTCACCACGCCCACCATTGCATCCAGTCACCACACCATGGCATCCAGTCACCACACCCACCATTGCATCCAGTCACCACACCCACCATTGCAGTCATCACATCATGGCATCCATTCACCACACCATGGCATCACACTATGGCATCCAGTCATCACACCCACCATGGCATCCAGTCATCACATCATGGCATCCAGTCATCACAATATGGCATCCTCCAGTCATCACATCATGGTATCCAGTCATCACATCATGGCATCCAGTCATCACACCATGGTATCCAGTCATCACACCATGGCATCCAGTCACCACACCATGGCATCCAGTCATCAAACCCACTAGGGCATCCAGTCATCACACCATGGCATCCAGTCACCACACCATGGCATCCAGTCATCACATCGTTGTATCCAGTCATCACACCATGGCATCCAGTCATCACACCCACCATGGTATCCAGTCATCACATCATGGAATCCAGTCATCACATCATGGCATCCATTCATCACACCATGGCATCCAGTCATCACACCATGGCAACCAGTCATCACACCATGGCATCCAGTCATCACACCCACTAGGGCATCCAGTCATCACACCATGGCATCCAGTCATCACACCATGTCATCCAGTCATCACACTATGGCATCCAGTCATCGCCCCATGGCATCCAGTCACCACACCCACCATGGTATCCAGTCATCACATCATGGCATCCAGTCATCACACTATGGCATCCAGTCATCACCCCATGGCATCCAGTCACCACACTCACCATGGTATCCAGTCATCACATCATGGCATCCAGTCACCACACCATGGCATCCAGTCACCACATCATGGCATCCAGTCATCACACAATGGCATCCGGTCACCACACCATGACATCCAGTCACCACGCCCACCATTGCATCCAGTCATCACACCCACCATTGCATCCAGTCACCACACCATGGCATCCAGTCTCCACACCCACCATTGCATCCAGTCACAACACCCACCATTGCAGTCATCACACCATGGCATCCAGTCATCACACCCACCATGGCATCCAGTCATCACATCATGGCATCCATTCATCACATCATGGCATCCAGTCATCACATCATGGCATCCAGTCATCAAACCATGGCATCCAGTCATCACATCATGGCATCCACTCATCACACGATGGCATCCAGTCATCACATCCACTATGGTATCCAGTCATCACATCATGGCATCCAGTCATCACACTATGGCATCCAGTCATCACACCATGGCATCCAGTCATCACACCCACCATAGCATCCAGTCATCAAATCATGGCATCCAGTCATCACACCATGGCATCAATTCACCACACCATGGCATCCAGTCCTCACAACATGGCACCCCGTCATCACATCATGGCATCCAGTCATCACACCATGGCATCCAGTCATCACACCATTGCATCCAGTCATCACATCATGGCATCCAGTCATCACATCATTACATCCAGTCACAACATCATGGCATCCAGTCACCACGCCATGGCATCCAGTCACAACACCAGGGCATCCAGTCATCACATCATGGCATCCAGTCATCACATCATGGCATCCAGTCATCACACCATGACATCCAGTCATCAAACCATGGCATCCAGTCATCACACCATGGCATCCAGTCACACCATGGCATCCAGTCATCACACCATGGCATCAATTCACCACACCATGGCATCCAGTCATCACATCATGGCACCCCGTCATCACATCATGGCATCCAGTCATCACACCATGGCATCCAGTCATCACACCATGGCATCCAGTCATCACATCATGGCATCCAGTCATCACACCATGGCATCCAGTCACAACAACATGGCATCCAGTCACCACACCATGGCGTCCAGTCACCACACCAGGGCATCCAGTCATCACATCATGGCATCCAGTCATCACATCATGGCATTCAGTCACCACACCATGACATCCAGTCATCAAACCATGGCATCCAGGCATCACAACATGACATCCAGTCATCATACCATGCCATCCAGTCATCACACCCACAATTGCATCCACTCACCACACCATAACATCCAGTCATCATACCATGGCATCCAGTCATCACACCATGACATGCAGTCATCATACCATGGTATTAAGTCATCACACCATAGCATCCAGTCATCACACCCACCATGGCATCCAGTCATCACATCATGGCATCCACTCATTACACCATGGCATCCAGTCACACCATGGCATCCAGTCATCACACCATGGCATCCAGTCACCACACCATGGCATCCAGTCACCACACCATGACATCCAGTCATCACACCATGGCATCCAGTCATCACATCATCGCATCCAGTCACCACACCATGGCATCCAGTCATCACACCATGGCATCCAGTCATCACATCATGTCATCCAGTAACCACACACCATGGCATCCAGTCACCACACCATGGCATCCAGTCACCGCACCATGGCATCCAGTCATCACATCATGGCATCCAGTCATCACATCATGACATCCAGTCATCACACCCACCGTGGCATCAAGTCACCACACCATGACATCCAGTCATCAAACCATGGCATCCAGTCATCACACCCACCATGGCATCCAGTCACCACACAATGACATCCAGTCATCATACCATGGCATCCGGTCACCACACCATGACATCCAGTCTTCATACCATGGCATCCAGTCATCACACCATGACATCCAGTCACCACACCATGACATCCAGTCATCATACCATGGCATCCAGTCATCACACCATGACATCCAGTCATCGTACCATGGCATCAAGTAATCACACCCACCATGGCATCCAGTCTCCACACCATGACATCCAGTCACTGGCGTCATCATGGTCCACACCATGACATCCAGTCACCACCCCATGACATCCAGTCATCATACCATGGCATCAAGTCATCACACCATGACATCCAGTCATCACACCATGACATCCAGTCATCATACCATGGCATCCGGTCCCCACACCATGACATCCAGTCATCATACCATGGCATCCAGTAATCACACCATGATATCCAGTCATCATACCATGGCATCAAGTCACCACACCATGACATCCAGTCACCACTCCATGACATCCAGTCACCACACCATGGCATCTAGTCACCACACCATGGCATCCAGTCAAGACACCATGGCATCCAGTCATCACACCATGACATCCAGTCATCGTACCATGGCATCAAGTCATCACACCCACCATGGCATCCAGTCACCACACCATGGCATCCATTCATCACATCATGGCATCCACTCATCACACCATGGCATCCAGTCAAACCATGGCATCCAGTCATCACACCATGGCATCAAACCACCACATCATGGCACCCAGTCATCACCTCATGACACCCCGTCATCACACCATGGCATCGAGTCATCACACCATGGCATCCAGTCATCACATCCACCATAGCATCCAGTCATCACATCATGGCATCCACTCATCACACCATGGCATCCACTCATCACACCATGACATCCAGTCATCACACCATCGCATCAAGTCACCACACCATGGCATCCAGTCATCACATCATGACACCCCGTCATCACACCATGATATCCAGTCATCACACCATGGCATCAAGTCATCAGACCATGGCATCCAGTCACCACAACATAGTATCCAGTCATCACACCATGGCATCCAGTCATCACATCATGACATCAAGTCACCACACATTGGCATCCAGTCACCACACTATGGCATCCAGTCATCACATCATGGCATCCAGTCATCACACCTACCGTGGCATCCAGTCATCACACCTACCGTGGCATCCAGTCGCCACACCATGGCATCCAGTCATCAAACCATGGCATCCAGTCATCACACCAAGACATCCAGTCATCGTACCATGGCATCCAGTCATCACACCCACCATGGCATCCAGTCACCACACCATGACATCCAGTCATCATACCATGGCATCCGGTCACCACAACATGACATCCAGTCATCATACCATGGCATCCAGTCATCACACCATGACATCCAGCCATCATACCATGGCATCAAGTCATCACACCATGGCAAGAAGTCATCACACCCACCATGGCATCCAGTCATCACATCGTGGCATCCAGTCATCACACCATGGCATCCAGTCATCACACCCACCATAGCATCCAGTCATCAGATCATGGCATCCACTCATCACACCATGGCATCCAGTCACACCATGGCATCCAGTCATCACACCATGGCATCCAGTCACCACTCCATGGCATCCAGTCATCACATCATGGCAACCCGTCATCACACCATGGCATCCAGTCATCACACTATGGCATCCAGTCATCACACCATGGCATCCAGTCACCACACCATGGCATCAAGTCATCACACCATGGCATCCAGTCTTCACATCATGGGATCCAGTCACCACACACCATGGCATCCAGTCATCACAGCATGACATCCAGTCATCATATCATGACATCAAGTCATCAAACCCACCATGGCATCCAGTCACCACACCATGACATCCAGTCACCACACCATGACATCCATTCACCACACCATGGCATCCAGTCACCACACCATGGCATCCAGTCACCACACCATGACATCCAGTCATCATATCATGGCAACCAGTCATCACACCCACCATGGCATCCAGTCACCACACCATGGCATCCAGTCATCACACCATGGCATTCAGTCATCATACCATTGCATCCAGTCACCACACCATGGCATCCAGTCATCATACCATGGCATCAAGTCACCACACAATGGCATCCAGTCACCACACCATGACATCGAGTCATCACACCAAGGCATCCAGTCATCAAACTATGGCATCCAGTTATCACACCATGGCATCCAGTCACCACAGCATGGCATCAAGTCATCACACCATGGCATCCAGTCATCACATCATGGGATCCAGTCACCACACACCATGACATACAGTCACCACACCATGGCATCCAGTCACCACACCATGACATCCAGTCATCATACCATGGTATCCAGTCATCCCACCATGGCATCCAGTCATCATACCATGGCAACCAGTCATCACACCCACCATGGCATCCAGTCACCACACCATGGCATCCAGTCATCACACCATGGCATCCACTCATCATACCATGGCATCCAGTCACCACACCATTGCATCCAGTCATCATACCATGGCATCAAGTCACCACACCATGGCATCAAGTCACCACACCATGACATCCAGTCATCACACCATGACATCCAGTCATCATACTAACACTGTCCATAGCTGACTACAACATGAACACTATTCATCTTGTGTTATCTGAACGTCACACAACTTACGTCTCCTCGAAGAACATGAGTGATCCCCATATGATGATCATCTACCACATTGGCGAAGTGGTATGTAGGAAACCTGTCACTTTTAATGAGAACCTAAAACACAAAAAATACAACCATTCAAATAATTCCAGTCATCAAAAGAAAAAAACTTGTTATTTATATATACTAAGCAAAGGAAAAGTCAGTTTGGAATTTTCCTTCGCAGAAACGGATAACTGTAAACTCATTTAATGTTTTGATTGTATATTTTTTACATCTCCAACTTTACCTGAGCAAAGACATTCCTCTCCAAACTCAGAATGGAACCCAGGAAATGGCCTCAAAGACGCAACCTGATCTCGGAGATGGTACAGTGTTCTCAATGTTTTTCATGCAGCTAATGCTGCACGTGCTGTTCTCAAGGACAAGCCCTATCAAATGCACCCCCATACCTGGTTGAAACGTTCACATTACAACGTCAGCAGGATGCCCCTTTTCACGACAACTCAGAGGAACCAGGCGCTATGAAGACTTGAAGCTGGCCACACTGCACAAGCCGTTGCCAATCACTTCCAGGTCAACGTTTGGACCATCTACAGGCTGCAACAACATTTCCGGGCCACCAACACCACAAATGATTACCTCCTGTACTGGCAGACCAAGGGTGACCACAAGACACAAGACCGCCATGTTGTGCGATAGCATGTACAGAATCCGAAGCAGCACGCCAGACAGTGGGAACACACGGAAGACCAATCAGTACTGATACAGTACGCCGATGTCTTAACAGCGGGAACCTCCATTGCCGTAGACCTTGCCATGGACCTATCCTCACCCCTCGTCATCAGCGTGAATGTCTACAGTTTGCCCTACAACACCAAAACTGGCGATACTGGCAATGGAGAACTGTTCTGTTTACAGATGAGAGTCGGTACTGCGTATCAACTGCAAATGTCAGAACAAGAATATGGCGACGACGTGGCCATCTTTACTCAGACCAATGTGTTATGGAAAGAGACTCATGGGGAGTTGCAAGCATCATTTTATGACGTGGAATAGGCCTGAACCAGAGAGTGGGTCCTGTGGTGTTCCAGAACCTTGGTCCAGGGAGAGGAGGCAGCAGCACAGCGGTGCGCTACATAGACCAAACTTTCAGACCCCACGTCATACCACATTTCGCATGTCACCGGAACAACATTTTCCAGCATGATAACGCCCGGGCCCATACTGCCAGAGCTACACGGGACTTCCTACAGCAGAACGGTGTCAACATTGTGCCGTGGCCAGCCCTTAGTCCTAATTTAAACCCAGTTGAACATCTTTGGGATGAAATTCAGAGGAGACTGAATAATGTCATACCAAGGCCGAACACATTCAGTTTATTTCGCCAGGCCTTTCTCAGAGTGAGGTTCAAGGTGCCAATGGCCTTCATCAATCGATTGATGCACTCCATGCATAGACGCTGTGCTGCAGTTATTGCCGCTCATGGTGGTCACACTAGATCCTGAAGTCAAGAGTCTGAATGAACTGCAAACGTTTACGTAATGTCTTGGAATTGTGCTGAGTTATTCATTGATATGTCAAGATATTGTACACAAAAAATGTGTTTAATCCGCTTATTATGTCCATTTCTGTAATGATTTGATTACAATACCTATCTAATTTTGAATTCAAACTGATGTGTTTTTTCGCTGATGAGTATAGTTTTGTTAAGTAACAACAGTTAGAGAGTGCGCATCGATTTAGTCAAATTTTGGAACACACAAGCAATGTGTATCTTTTCAGAACATCTGACACTTTTCCCTATAAATGAAGGAAGATGTGGTGATGTTCCTCACCGGATCCCCCTCAGCATCGGCTAAGTTGTGCGACGTACGTCCTTTCAGCAGATCATCCCACGGCTCTGTTACGTCTTCAAGTTACAACAGCAGCATAAAACTTACTTCCGTAGCACTGATTAGGTCAACAGACAGTATTCTGTTAAGAAATGTTACACATTTCTGCAAGCTGACAGTTACCTACACAACTCATAGATTCATCATGGATCTTAAACTGACTGTTTCAGCATTAACCTGGTGATATTAAGTGGTAAGCGTTCGGGTAACAACCGACAGTCACGTGAGTGTGAAAGGTTATAAGATCAGCAGTAAACTGGCTCCCACATGATCAATAGCGCATTAAATAGTATGTTTGTTTGTTTGTTTGATTTACGCCACAGTCAGCAATCCTCCACCTGGCGGCTGTCTGACATCAATCGAGTCGGGACCTGTCACTCCAGTGATTGACCACATGATTATCAATATATGCAACTGGGATACCATGACATACATCAAGCAGCGTCTGAGTCTGGCCACCCGATCCCCTCAGTCGCTTCTTGACAAAAGCATGACCTGCTGAAGACCTATTCTAACTGGGATCTTCACTGATGCTTTTAATGTTTCATTTCCTCGTGTTTTTGTTTCTTTCACCTATTCTGGTAATGTACTTACGCTGTACACGTTGCTACGCAACCATCTATCCACCGATTCCTACCTGGATTGTAACCAAGTGATTAGAACTTAACGATGATGGTTTGTGATGAGGTAACGATTTGTTTGGATTCTTTGCCAAAAATAAGTAGTTTTGCTGTGAACAAGTGAGTTAAAGAGTAAACGAGCGTTTGTTTTATTTTAACATTTGAACAGTATTATTTTGGGCTTTTAAACATGTATTCAGCAAGTAGTCACGCGAGAGACTGAACTGATTTTCTAGTTATGCCAGTTGGGTTATCGGCATTAAGTTGGAGTAACGTTATGGGGCTTTTCAGGACCACTTCACAGGTAATTGAAAAGACATCATGGTCCCATAGAAATAGTACTTCAATCATCACAATGCTACCCTTTGCAAGCAAGAAGGTATTCCGAGCTGACTTGCACAAGCATTACCTGTCTTGACAAAGGGGAGCACATTTAATTTATTTCGTGAATTTTCACACTTTGAAATGTAGCATGGTTTCACCTATGCGCCTGTTGAGGCTATCCACACGCTTCAAAATAGTTGATAGTATTGCCAATGGACGTTGATAATATGTCTTGAATTCTCAGTGTGAGTTTGGTGGTAGCTTCACTTTGGCTGCTGTGATCTGCCCGGTTTTACAATATAATGTTAAGGATAGTCATATTTTAATGTGTTACATCTATATCTGGGATCCTCTACTTATTACACTGTCCATTTTTGACAGGTTTACAGTTATATTATGTGTACATATTATTCATTTAAAACTACACTAAAGTGACAACCTGACCCACTTATATACGTGGCCAAGGTAGGGAATTGTTGGTGTTGTCGATACCTTCATGCATACCATCGTGTTGTTTTGGTTCAATCCAACTTGATGTACGTTAGTCTGTTCTGTGCTTTAGTATTTCATTCTTGCTTGAAAACAGCACTGTAGTATAGTACCATAATATGATGAAGAAGTTGTCTTTTTTAAACAGCACTGTAGTATAGTACCATAATATGATGGAGAAGTTGTCTTCTTTAAACAGCACTGTAGTATAGTACCATAATATGATGAAGAAGTTGTCTTCTTTAAACAGCACTGTAGTATAGTACCATAATATGATGGAGAAGTTGTCTTCTTTAAACAGCACTGTAGTATAGTACCGTAATATGATGAAGAAGTTGTCTTCTTTAAACAGCACTGTAGTATAGTACCATAATATGATGAAGAAGTTGTCTTCTTTAAACAGCACTGTAGTATAGTACCATAATGTGATGAAGAAGTTGTCTTCTTTAAACAGCACTGTAGTATAGTACCATAATATGATGAAGAAGTTGTCTTCTTTAAACAGCACTGTAGTATAGTATCATAATGTGATGAAGAAGTTGTCTTCTTTAAACAGCACTGTAGTATAGTACCATAACATGATGAAGAAGTTGTCTTCTTTAAACAGCACTGTAGTATAGTACCGTAATATGATGAAGAAGTTGTCTTCTTTAAACAGCACTGTAGTATAGTACCATAATATGATGAAGAAGTTGTCTTCTTTAAACAGCACTGTAGTATAGTACCATAATGTGATGAAGAAGTTGTCTTCTTTAAACAGCACTGTAGTATAGTATCATAATATGATGAAGAAGTTGTCTTCTTTAAACAGCACTGTAGTATAGTACCATAATATGATGAAGAAGTTGTCTTCTTTAAACAGCACTGTAGTATAGTACCATAATATGATGGAGAAGTTGTCTTCTTTAAACAGCACTGTAGTATAGTACCATAATATGGTGAAGAAGTTGTCTTCTTTAAACAGCACTGTAGTATAGTACCATAATATGATGAAGAAGTTGTCTTCTTTAAACAGCACTGTAGTATAGTACCGTAATATGATGAAGAAGTTGTCTTCTTAAAAACAGCACTGTAGTATAGTACCATAATATGATGAAGAAGTTGTCTTCTTTAAACAGCACTGTAGTATAGTACCATAATATGATGAAGAAGTTGTCTTCTTTAAACAGCACTGTAGTATAGTACCATAATATGATGAAGAAGTTGTCTTCTTTAAACAGCACTGTAGTATAGTACCGTAATATGATGAAGAAGTTGTCTTCTTTAAACAGCACTGTAGTATAGTACCATAATATGATGAAGAAGTTGTCTTCTTTAAACAGCACTGTAGTATAGTACCATAATATGGTGAAGAAGTTGTCCTCTTTAAACAGCACTGTAGTATAGTACCATAATATGATGAAGAAGTTGTCTTCTTTAAACAGCACTGTAGTATAGTACCGTAATATGATGAAGAAGTTGTCTTCTTTAAACAGCACTGTAGTATAGTACCATAATATGATGAAGAAGTTGTCTTCTTTAAACAGCACTGTAGTATAGTACCATAATGTGATGAAGAAGTTGTCTTCTTTAAACAGCACTGTAGTATAGTACCATAATATGATGAAGAAGTTGTCTTCTTTAAACAGCACTGTAGTATAGTACCATAATATGATGAAGAAGTTGTCTTCTTTAAACAGCACTGTAGTATAGTACCATAATATGATGAAGAAGTTGTCTTCTTTAAACAGCACTGTAGTATAGTACCATAATATGGTGAAGAAGTTGTCTTCTTTAAACAGCACTGTAGTATAGTACCATAATATGATGAAGAAGTTGTCTTCTTTAAACAGCACTGTAGTATAGTACCGTAATATGATGAAGAAGTTGTCTTCTTTAAACAGCACTGTAGTATAGTACCATAATATGGTGAAGAAGTTGTCTTCTTTAAACAGCACTGTAGTATAGTACCATAATATGATGAAGAAGTTGTCTTCTTTAAACAGCACTGTAGTATAGTACCATAATATGGTGAAGAAGTTGTCTTCTTTAAACAGCACTGTAGTATAGTACCATAATATGATGAAGAAGTTGTCTTCTTTAAACAGCACTGTAGTATAGTACCGTAATATGATGAAGAAGTTGTCTTCTTTAAACAGCACTGTAGTATAGTACCATAATATGATGAAGAAGTTGTCTTCTTTAAACAGCACTGTAGTATAGTACCATAATATGGTGAAGAAGTTGTCTTCTTTAAACAGCACTGTAGTATAGTACCATAATATGATGAAGAAGTTGTCTTCTTTAAACAGCACTGTAGTATAGTACCATAATATGATGAAGAAGTTGTCTTCTTTAAAGTATATAATCTTTCTTATTACTGACCAATTTCTAAAATGCATATTAAACATATCGTGTTAGCTCTTAACTAGAAGGTGGATTTCGTTCAGAAATAATTTCAAAGGAGTTGTAACACCCGTTCACATGGCTACACACTGCAGACCAGTTATGCATGTTGTGTGATTATTGCAAGCGAAGGTCAGCGTGACAGAACTGTCTAATCCTTGTGTGTATTTGAATTTTGTCCACAAACAAATTCTCTTGTCGTGCATGACAGACTGAAAAAAAACACCAAATACAGAAACACGTTGTCAAGGCCAACGGGACACAACATTGCCATAAACGTAACCCGTCATTCTGCACAATTGCAACTTTAAATGAACGCCACGGCTACAAAGGAACCTGGGGCTACATACTTCCCTTCACAGGATGGCGTTAGGCACTGCCTCGTTAGATTGGTGCACTTATACGCATTCAGAGTAGTGATCTTGTAGAAGTGGAATTTTTTTCAGAACAACGAGGAGTGGACTGGCAAAGTTGATATGATTGTATGGATGATGCGTATGCATGGACTCGTTACGGAACTTGTCCCGGAAAACAACAATTCTGAGAAAACAATCATTTCATGTTCTAATTCAATTGTTTAAACAGTCATATGCTATCTAGTTTGGTTTACTAACTTTGCAACGTACAGAAGTCAGTTACTTTCACAATCCGATTCACTCTCGCTATCACTCTCTACACCCAGTTCAATTATCACTTTTTCTGTTTCATGTTCAACTGCAATATTCATGTCCCAGTAGTCGCCTACACATTTTTCAACATGGGCACAGCAATGAGTCCACTCGTTTACACCAATTTCAAGAAACCTCTCCTCTGCGAATTTCTTAGCATCATTAATAGTACACTTCACATTTTTGACAGCAACAAAAAAATTCACATTCGCCCCTTTGGGCGATAAGTTCGAAGCAGATTTTTCCTAGACCAGGTTTAGTGCTAGTCCTGGTTTAGTTAAACCACGACCATTGGTCTAACTTAAACGGTAATATGTAAAGGTGGTTAGTTAAACCAGCATTCAGACCAGGTTTAAATGTATTAATTATGTTTCATTGATTTTCCACTCCTGGATTTGTAAAAACCCATGTTTGAGCATGCCCTGTTGGCACTTGGAATTTAAAAGAAGGCCAACGTCAACGTCGGTGTACATCAGGATTTTTATGGTTTCAAGAGTAAGTTTTGAACATGGCTACACGCCAAAGGGAGAGA